CCGAACGCTGCCCAGCCGAGTTGAATCCGTCGATTGACCTCTCGGTCGAAGTTGGACTTACCTAGTCGGACTATTTGTCCCAGGTAAACGTATTCGTCAACAACTTCGAGCATAGTGCTCCCAACAACTACCGGCATAGGTGTGACATGGACATTGAACATGATCTTTGTTTTGTCCATGTTCATCTTAAGACCTATCCGTTGGGAGGCACTATTGAGGTCATTGAGCATAGTGCTTAAGTCCTCCAGCGATTCTGCCATAAGGACTATATCGTCGGCAAATCGAAGGTGAGTGATGTACTCGCCATTGATGTCAATACCGTATCCTTTCCAGTCCAGTAGCTTGAAAACGTCTTCCAATGCAGCGGTGAAGAGTTTCGGGGATATAACGTCACCCTGTCTTACACCTCTCTGCAGTTGGATAGGTTTCGAGCTCTGGTTCTGTACTCGGATAGCCATCGTAGCCCTACTGTACAAACACTTCAGCACTTCGATATACCGACAGTCAACTTGGCACCGCTGAAGGGACTGTAGCACCGCCCAAATTTCGACGGAATCAAAGGCTTTCTCATAGTCCACATACGCCAGGCAAAGTGGCAGATTGTACTCTTCAGTCTTCTGTACAATCTGCCGCAGGGTATGTATGTGGTCTATGGTACTGAAGCCTTTTCGGAAACCGGCTTGTTCGGGAGGCTGGAAGTCGTCAAGTCTGCGTGCGAGACGATTCGTAATGACTCTCGAAAACAGCACGTAGACGCGGCTCAGAAGGGAAATCGGTCTGTAGTTCTTTAAGAGAGCGTTGTCGCCTTTCTTAAAGAACAAGACCACCGCACTTCTGCTCCACGCCTCTGGAGTAGTGCCACCATGGAGGACGGAATTGAAGAGCTTCTGAAGGACTTCAAGTACCGGTGTTCCACCCGCTTTCAGAAGCTCCGCTGTAATTCCATCCTCGCCTGGGGCCCTGCCGTTTTTAAGGTGCTGGAGAGCCATTCTAATCTCGCTTAGACTGACGTCCGGGATATCATCGGAATAGTGTCGGATAAGACTTGCTCTTGGATCGTTACTCACACTTGCGTGTGGCTCCAACGATGATGTGTACAGCTGCCCATAGAACCTCTCAATCTCACTCAAAATCTCAGGTGTCCCGGAAACGACGTTGCCACACTCAGTCTTCAGCCTTGACAGTTGGCTCTTTCTGGCAGACAGATCTCTGGCAAAGACTTTGGAGCCCTGGTTCCGCTCGATCGCTTCTTTAATACGAGAAGTACCTATTAAAGTTGCGTAAGTCTCGCCGTATGCATTTGGAGATCTGTCTGTTCAGTTGCCTGTATGCTGTCAAATCTGTTGACGATTGCAGCCTCATCTCCCGTCTAACAGCCATGAGATTAAGAGTGTGATCGGAGAGTTTTTGTGTTCTTCTGCGGCGGGTCTTACAGAACTTAGCTCCGACCGCATGGACAGTTTCCACGAGCTTGTCGTTCATATCGTCCACTGCATTGCAATCTTCTAGGCACTGGAAGCGGTTACGTAACTCGAGCTGAAAGGTTTCGGGATTCTGGATCAGAGCACGAGGGGGGACGGAGCGTTGACTTCATTAGACGAGACCTCTCCAACCTAACGTTTAGGTTCAGTGTGCCTCTAACCATTCGGTGATCGCTGCCAGTTTTCACCCTTGCGATCACTGAGACATCACTGAACAGTTGGCGTCTGGTCGTCATAATGAAGTCAATCTCATTTTTTGTCGAACCGTCGGGGCTCGACCAGGTCCACTTCCTGTGGGGCCGCTTCTGGAAGAAAGAGTTCATAATAAAGAGTCCCTCTTTCTCCATAAAGTCGGCCAGCTGCTGGCCCCTTCGGTTCCGTTGCCCTACTCCAAATTTCCCTACCTTCAGCTCACCGCTTTCTCTTGTGCCCAGTTTTGCGTTGAAGTCTCCCATCAACACCGTGTAGTAGGTTCTGGAGGAATGTATGGCTCTGGAAATATCCTCATACATTTCCTCCACCTCCTCATCGGGATGTGCCGAGGTTGGTGCGTAAACCTGAATGACCTTCAGCGAATACCGTTTGGTGATTCTGAGTATCAGGTACGCGACCCTCGTCGACACACTCCCAATCTTTACAACGTTGTTGACGAGAGATTTGTGGACGATAAATCCGACACCTCCTTGGGACAGATGGTCGCCCTCCCGGTGATAGAACAAGTTGCCGGACTCGAGGATTGTCGTGTCCTCCCCCTCTCTTCGGACCTCGGATAATCCAATAATATGCCAGCGCAACTTGTCTACCTCTTCTTCCAGCTCCAGTATCTTCTCGTCAGTCCTCAGGGTACGTGCGTTATATGTTGCCAGGTCAAGTCGTCGTAGGTGGCAACCGAACCTCCACCGGAGATTCTTAGCACCCCCCTGCCCCGCCGTTACCATGGTCGCCACCGTAGCCAGGAATAGCGGGGCCGCCGGGGACTGGGGGCCGTCTGTTTGTGTATTTGTTCATTGGGGGGTATTTGCCATAGTTGCCACGCTTGGCGAGCGGGTTGGCAACCGCAGTTTTTTATTACGTCACAGTTGTCATTAGGAAGACGCTGCTGCCCATCTCCTGCCTGTCTCCCTCTGTCGCCTCTTACGACACCCACGGGAAGATATGGGGTAGTGGATATTCTTAACCGCCACTACACGGCAGACGACGGATATTGCCAGCTAATAAACTAACTAACTGAACGAATGCAGATGTGTGTTCGTTTCTGCGCAATCAACGAGTTAAGAGTATCTTGAAGTCGTACAGTAGTTTGCTTGTTTTGTTTAAAATTAATATATCTTATTATTGGGGTATCTGTATAGTTTTCCTATCTTGTTGGTTTCTATAAAAGATAAATATACATAAATATCAATAAAATAAGATAAATACAAAGAATACACAAATAAATAAAGATCCAACCAGATGGAAGCTCTCTGCAGGGGAGACCCAACGGCCGAGGAAAGGGAAAGAAACCGACGGACGATGCGGGCGGTATTGAGAACCACGGCCTTCAGCATTTGAGCCCGGAGCGGTCCGTCATGGAGTCCCAGTCACCTCAGATGACCCGAGAGGCTGACTGGGATTAGCCCATTCGCAGAGACGACTACAGGAATGATTTCGGTCGGCCGACCACTCCACATGTAGGTCACCTCGTCAGCCAGGTCCAGATATTTTGTTCGCTTATCTATTTTGGATTTCACGAGGTTCTCGTCATACGAAATGGTAATGTCGACCAAAAATATCCTTGACTATGCCCGGTCCATCAGCACAATATCAGGCTTATTCGCAAGAATAGTCCTGTCTGTGATGATGGTCCGGTCCTAGTAGAGCCTGGCGCGGTCATTTTTGAGCATGGCTTCCAGCAAGTACTTGTAATACGGCAATTTCCGGTCCACGAGACCGTATTTCAGAGCGAGCTCCTGGTGTAGAATTTTGGCTACTAGGTTGTGCCTGTACTAGGAGTACTTGCACTCAGAGTTAGAAAGCGCCGAACAACTGGAGATGACATGCCTAAGTGACTCCCCGGGATGGCGACAAGCTCGACAGACGTCGATGGTGCCATCCTTTAGGAATGTATCTTCGATAGTTATTGGTCTTAATAACCTGATTCTGTATTGCACAGACAAAACCCTCGGTTTACCTGAAGAGGTCACCGAAACGTAGCCAGTTGAGGGAGGCGACTGTATCTACGAAGGGCTCATGTAGAGCCCTGTAAGTACCTCCCGTGGAGCTCCTTCTCTTTCCATACGGTCTCCCGGTCGGAAATGCTAAGCACTGCTGGGTCCTGCCATTGCTCGTTGGCTAAGGATGGAGGGGTAAGCCCTTTATCACTAGAAATGACGTCATTATAGAATGGATCATCCGATCTCGCCAGGAAGTAATGACGGAGACTGCACACTTCGCGATTATGCATGGTGAGCACGCTCAGAAAGCCACCCCCACCATGCTTTCGCGGCAAGTACAGCCTCATTACCGACGATCTCGGATGATGCATCCTATGGGACGTCATGGTAGTGCGGATTTTAGGCGTTAAGCTCAGTCTGAGGCCACCTGAGTATGCCAAAGGTATACATGAGGACAGGCATCACAAGCCATTATATGCGTGTGACTTATTCACACCGGACAAAAGGCTGTTAAGCACTTTGTTCAAGCGTGCATAAAACACGTCGCAAACTGACTGTTTCATACCAGCCTCATCGATACCGATGTTCTGTGACATACCCAGGTATCGGTATGTTTCAGCCTCGGAAAGAGTCCTTAAGTTGACGGGCATAGATAAGTCTATGCCCTTAGAGTTAGCAACCCTTCCCCTTTCAACATGGAGGACCGCACACTTATCCGTCCCCAGCTCCATTCCAATAGAATTGCTAAATTCACAAGTGATGTTCAGCAATTCCATAAGGTGGGAGCGTTGAGGTCGTCCATATAGAAAAGGTGGGTCACTTTTGTACCTCCTTTCCGAAGCTGAAATCCCCTCCCGGAGCCCTCCAGTAAAGTATTGAGAGGGTTCAAAGAGAGGCAGAACCAGATTGGACTCAGACAGTCGCCCTGGAAGATATCCCTTCTTATCCTTATGTGGATTTCCGCAGCCGTCATCCGCTTACCTAGATAACAAAGGATCGTACTCCACTGCCCCATACACAGCCCGAAGAAGTCTCGAACTGTACAGTCAATCTTGTACAGCTCAAGGACCCTCTTTAGTGATGCGCCATGTATGGGGCACCGAGTCGAACGCCTTTCTGTAGTCTATCCAGGCGGCGGAGAAGTTCCGACGGTTGCGTTTCACCGCTTTGCCAATGACCGCGTCAATGAGGAGTGGTTCCTTGGTTCCACGACCACCGCCCCGACATCCATTTTGAGCGCGTGACATCAGCTAATTTGAGTCCAGGTGACGAGTGATTCTCGCGCTCAAAATGGATGTCAGTGTCATATATGTGGTGGGTAGACACGAGATGGGGCGGTATTTACTCGGGTCTGTGGTATACTAATCTATAGAAACCAAGTGAGTGATCCCAGAAGTGAAGAGGCTCGGGAGTGACTTCTGATCGAGAGCCTCTTGAAACTGTCGGGCGCCACTACGAACCTCTTCAGACAGTAATAATGCAGTCCGTCGAGCCTCGAACTTTTCCAGTTCGGGGCCCTACGAACCGCCTCAGCCATGTCTTCCGGCGTTATGGTGACTGGGTCCATAGGCGTAACGCTCGCACTCTGGCTCGCCACAACTTCCATCCAAGGGCCCTCGCTGTGGTTTACGGGCTCTGACCACAGGCCACGCCAAAATGCGACAGTGTTAGCCTGATCCGGTCCCGGGCCCGCTCCACGTACCTCTGGTCGCTCCAATGACTTATAGAGCCCCTTCTGATCACTCTGGAAGAGACGGTTCTGGTTGAACGGCCTTGACCTCTCGGTAAATCGTCGAATCCTCCTCTCCCAAGCAGCGATCTTTTGCTTCAGGTCATCTATGTGCTCCGTTAGTTTTTGCGTGATATCCGGCTGGGAAAAACTGATATTTGTCCCAGCAAACGCCATTCTAACGGTGCGCACAACCCTCGGTCTATTATTACCCGACCTGAAGCTTATCAGTCTGCCGATAAGGGCCCTTGCCTTTGCGATACGGTCCTCAATTCTTTTTCTCCAGGCTGGGATGGCGCTACTTTGTTTAGTAGCGCGTCCAGCCATGGGATAGTTTGGCACCAATAATACGGCAAATTGCGGCGCCAAAAATAACTGAGTCCGTCTCGCAAAGGCACCGCATGGCTTCAAAATAGGTTACCAGCATTGGGTTAAGAGCCCTCACGACAGCCCGATTTCGCTTGCTAAGGGATATGCGGGGAAGTCACGGTCGATTTTCGAGAGGCATGCTGCGCGTTTCCAAAATCGCCTCTTCCAATATACTCCTCATTTGTTCTAGTTCGTGGGAGACCATTTCATCATCGTCTGAATCAACCACAACTGGAAGATCCATGGCGGCTTCCACGTGTGGATGTTGGTCTGTCGCCTGAGGAGCTGCATCCCTGATCACAGCCAATTCATCCGATGAGGAAATGGCCTCACGTCGTAGTCGTTCGAGCTCGACATCATCAAATATTTTCGAGCGCATGATGTACCGAACTCGGTCTGCCAGGTTTTGTTCCGTGACGAGAATAGCTCAGCAAAAAAGCAATGCATCCGAGCCCGATACGCTATCTCTGCAGTTTCTTCCCCTTTCGCCCTATAGTACGCCCGCAATGCGTTTGCATTCATATTTTTTGTCCAACGCATGCGGCGCACTCCACCAGATGCGGATGCCGCTTGTCGAGTCCGAGAGGACCCTGCCGACATCAAGCCATCTGGTGGGGATGATGGATGCGGAGGGCTGCTAGGTGATCTTGCAGCTCCTCGCGCTTGGCTGGCGACCCGCGTGCTGCCGCGTCCAGCGCCAGCTCCAGACGCGCCCCGGCGACCCCCAGGCAGCGTCCCTGTACGCTTTCTATTAAAATCCGTCATCCATTTTTCGGCGCCAATTAACGGGAGATTCCCAGGCCCGGCACCGTTTCACTGTATCATTGTGCGGCCGTAAGTACAAACGGGCTTTGCACCCTGAGTACTGCCGAGGCACGGCGCTCACACCTCTTGGCCTCTTATTATTATTATTATGTTATTTTATTTTGTTAATTAGGGGTTCAAAACATATGGTAGCACTCAGCCTTGTTCTTTATTTAAATTGGGATTTTTTTTAATTTCAATAGCATTGCGCGGCACTTAGGCTTCGATATTTTTTGCGAGAATTTGTGGTCTATCAAATCCGATACAATTGTTGGGACGATTCTGAACATCTTAACATAATGCAGACTTTTCGGAGCGTGTTTTCTTCATATCAGCGATATTTTTTTCACGTAGATTATAATGGATCTTTTTTGCCTTATGTTTAAGAAACCACATTCACAATCAACCACGTACACTCTTGCATCTTGTAGCGGGATATTACTCTTAACGGATTGTAAGAACTGACTAATCGTCTTCAGCGGCTTGTAGTATGTTCTTATGGAAGCCCGCTTCAAGATGTAACCAATGTTTTCTGTGATTCATCTGATACTCCCTGCTAAACTTGCTTACGTGCTAGAGCCCGGTGGCCAGGTGTTTCAGAGAGCATAAAGGATCTGTGAAATTACTGTATTTAGATAGATAGAAAAATAGATTTTACCACGGTAGCTAACTGTGACGGATGGTGATGAGATTCACCGTTCAAATATCGGTTTTCTATACACAGAATTAGGAAAGCTAAAGAACTATTTGCTTTTAGCTCATAAAAAATATTTTGTAGTAACAAGTGGTTAACTTTTTAATTGGTTGAAAAAAATGCCTGAAAGTCAAGCCTAATTCAATTGACTAAACTGAGTCTATTTGGGTTATAAATGTTAAATTGGAGATTCCTGTTAATTTGGAAAGTTACTTCATTTTATTTTGTGTTTTGACTACGTCAACAGCTATACCGTATCTGCAGCTCAAAGAGTGGGTGCTGTGCGCGTGTGGTGTTGGTAGATCTATTTTAGTCATCATCGTCATCTGCCAACCAGGGATGACTGAACATACGAGTAAAGATAAGTGTTCTTAAAAGTAAAATGAAGTGTAACATCTGTTGCGTAACGAACGATTAAAATGATTACGGTCATTGGGCATTTTATTTCGTGATAATAAGTAAAGTTTCCTTTGAATTGGTCTAGTTGAAGTAGAATTAAAGATTGGAGAAGTTTCCGGCGGTATTTCCAAGCTTTTATATTCTTCGTCACTTGTTATTATTATTTGGTCACATTGCACGTATTGGTACGTAGTTGTAACTGCGATTTAATTGTGAGTCATTCAGCAACGGTGAACATATGATGGCGTGGTGGAAGGCTTTTGTATCGTAGAGACTACTGTTGATCGACTTGGAATAACCTCATAATCATTGTCTCTACAGAAGATCGTATCACAAGTAGTGATGAAGATATGGATAACAGTTTGTTGCTAGCCATTGCGGCATTATGATCAATTTGTGTAATCAAATAGAAAACATAAGGGATTCCTTTGTGACTTGGAACACTATACATAAAGATTTTTTTTGAGATAACTTGGACAGAAGAGTGACAAAAAGAGTTATTACTCTGTAATTATTATTATATATGTTTTAGAGTACCATTAAAGGATGAGTATTAGCAATGCCGCAAATGTCAACCGTAAACAAAAGATTCAACACAACTTATGCATTCAGATGATTCGAACTCGAATATAGAGGGATGGTGCAATGTAGTAAAGGTTATTGCACAAAATAAACGATAATAAAGAATATTATTTAATTTGTTAATGGCATTAAAAATCGCTTTAAAAGTTAGTCTTACCGATCTTAAGTTTCTTGATATTTTACTTGTAGATTCCGCAATAAAATATTATTGTGGGTCCAGCAGAGCGAGCGGGTGTCAGCTAGTATACAATATAAAAATTTTTAAACAAATTTTCCCTGTTTGATTCGCCTTCTATGAATTTTTACACGAGTCATCCGATTACGATGAAATTTTGGTAGGTTGATTTGCGCAACCGCGAATGTTTCTAACAAAAAATACGTAGCAACTCACACATGACACATGAAAAAATAACGCTTTTATTAAAAAGCCTTCTTTGTTCTTCCTAAATAAATCTATTAAACTGTGAAGCAGTTTTACTCGTATTCAGGTATTGGTTAAGATTTTGTTTTTATGGTATAACTGTGACAAAAGATCGTATGGATCAGCTGTTGGTAACACACATCGATTAAGGATCAAAATGCAGATGCGAGGTCAACCCTGAATATTTACATAGAAGGAAAGACAAGAAAAATAAAGATATATGTCATTTTGACCTCGTTTGGAAAATACCTGCATATATCCAATGAACATAAGAAGTAAATTCAAAATGTTGATATCGAATAAAGCAATATACTGCTATTTTATGCTGGTATTCCGTGAGAGCATGATTGTACCCCGGTCAAGCCAACCCATTAGTGCTGCACCCTAGTATAACTACAGTCTACCATACTAAAAATTAAATAAGTTACATTTACTTTCATGTCCAGCTGCGGACTAATAGGGGCTTTTGAAGATGAAGACAAAAGAATTTTAATACGAAAAGTACTTCCTCTTCGTGATTGCACCATGAATTGTGATAGTGAATGTGCCATAGGTAGACCATAGGTGCTGCCCAACATTGGAAACGTAGGGAATATAGAAATATATAAAAAAACTAGCAATCCACCCCTGGATCCCACTGATGATTTTTGGATCTCGATAACAGCGCCACCTTTCGGCTTTAATTGAGAATCTGAATTTTTTTAAGGACCCACTCAGACATTTTTTTTAATTTTTTTTGTGTGATAAAATGTGATAAAAGTGGAACAGCCACATTATATATATTACAAACAGATATTACAATAAATTAATGAACGCAATAACGCAGCCCACAGTGCTGTTCACAGATTACCTCTTGGGATAGATAATTAAGACGCTAGGAGACCTGCAGCTGTACAGAAGGTATTATATAAATGTCAAAGTATGGTCAACAATGGTTTTACAATATGACTAAGGTAACAAAATTATTATTTGAAAAGTGTCTTGTATAAAAGACCACGAAACTTTTGACATACACAAAAACATACAAACTTCATCGAAATCGGTCCAGCCGTTTATGAAAAGTTCAGTGGCAAACACACGTATTTTTTATTACTCCCTTGTGCTTGAATCGGATAGTTATTGTTTCATACAACAGGGTATTATTGTTTTTTTAATAAGACTTTCAAAAACTTCTTATTGTTCTTCAAGAGAAAAAGTTAAAACACAAAATTAGTTTGAATAAAATAAGTTGATTTCAAGTGTTGAGCTAAATGTGACGAAAATATGAGTGAATCACGGCTTATTACTTACTACCACGAAAGAATTGCCACGAAAAATTTATTCTGAGCTGGCACGTTTAATTACGCCACCCTGCTACTAAAATATTAAAAATTTAAATTTTTTTGATATTGCGATCTTTCAGAACGCTGCTCAACCGAAACGTAACCGTCGATTGACCTCTCAGGTAAAGATGGACTCGCCACCAACCTCGAGGGTAGTGTACCCAACAACTACCAGCATATGAACGGTTTTGTTGGTTACACGAAACTTTTTTTTTAATTATATACATTTTAAGAACTGAAGAATCTGTTATGCGTAATAGCGTTTATGAAGGTTATTGAGCATCGTGCTAAGACCTTCCAGCGATTCTGCCATAAAGCCCGACATAGCGTTGAAAAATCGAAAGCCACAAAATTTCGACAAAATCAAAGACTTTTATAGTTCACGTACGCGATAAAGTGCTCAATTGTAATTTTTGATCTTCTGTACAGTTTGCTGAAGGGTATGTTTGTGGTATATGGTACTTAAGTCTTATCGAAAACTGGTTGTTCTAGAGGCTGCATGTCTTCAAGACTGCATACGAAACGATTCGTTATGACTCTTAAAAACAGTTAGTCGACGCGGTTCATAAGGGAAAACAATCTGTAGTTCTTAAACACAGCATTCTCGTCTTGCGCCACACATCCGGCGTAGTCCAAGCTAACCTTAAAAGGGCCTTTATCCATAAATGCCTAACAAGGGAGTTAACTACAAGTAAAATGTAGTGTATATTACAAAACTTATTATAACAAAATACTGACTCACTCTTTTCTTTAAAATAAATATTATGGTGATAAAATTTCTATCAAGATCCTAGACTAATAAATAATGAATAGTCTGTAGGAGTTAGAAAATAAATTATACGTTTTTATTCGTGTACGAAAATTAATCACGAAAGTTCTCTTCAAAATAATCTTCATCGGTATGTTGACCAGATGAAGGAATTTACTATCTTCATAGTACAAAGATATTGCAAAATTTATTAAGCGATTTCGGTTAGACACCTCGTCAAACCGAAATTGCTTATTGAAGTTTTCGATGGTGATTTCGGTACTTTCTCTATTTACGAGCACCCGACGGAGCGGTAATGTCTTTGACATATGTGAACCCTCACGAAAATAGATATTGTGAACGATTGAACATATTTGGCTTGGATACTGACTGCATTTTCAGTTCTAAA